TTCAAATAAATGATAAAGCAACACCTGACGGCACAACGCCTCTCCCTATTTGACCTAGAATTTTGTGTGTATGTATTGATATGTAGGCTATGTGTGCCGTTTTTAAATGTATGTAGTTCTGTCCTTGTCTATTCATGTTCTGTATTATGCCATGTTTAATGTTTTGTGTGGACCCCAGGAAGAGTAGCTGCTGCTTTCGCAACAGCTAATGGGGATCATAATAAAATAAAAAATACAAATACAAAAAAAATATTGCTATCAGCTTGTAAATCACAGCTGGTCTGCCTGGTACATTGTTTGCTGCCTCCACCCATTCGGGATGCACTGTTTCAGTTTCAATAACTCAAGGTTCGGAATGTCAATACAATCAAACTAGCAAGGGCACTGATCACAAGCCAGACATAACGTGGCTAATAGGCTAGCACACGTGTCAAACAGAAGGCCCGCGGTCCGAATAGGACAACAAGAGAGTATAAATGAGTCAACAGTTGAGTCATCTACTTTATGAATTTACAGCCTGATGTGCTCGCATCAGTGAATTCAACTTAAATTGCGGTGCTTTCGTGTATCCCATTTAAAGCAGGAAGCAGAGGTAAAGTGTACAGACACATGCTACAGTCCTAGCTAGGCTATTAAAATGTTGCAGTCTGGCTTTGGTTTTTAAAGCTTGACAATGAATAACCAGAAAACAAAACCTGCAACAAAACACCATGCAATGGAGAAACATGTAGAACTATTACAGCAACATTTGAGCAGTAGCCTAGGCTGGCTACACAACTACAATACATTTTGAGAGCACCATACAGAAATACTGCATTCAACCGCACCGGTGATCCATGCAGTGCAAAAAAATGAAAAACATGTTTTAAGTTTAACAACCTATACCTACATTTGTGTTATTTGTAGTTCTTAAAAAAAAAATTGATTAGGGTCGCAGCATATTATGCACATGTGCAACCATAGCAACAAAGGCTGGACAAATACCATTTATCTCTTCTTTTTTTTAAAGATGTTATAATGCTATATACAGCTTCCTATGTACATAAGTGGACATTATAATATGGCCCATGCCCTGATTGAGTTTAACACCCCTGGGCTAGCGTATCTATTTATGTAGCTAACTATTTATTTAAGCAAGCTAAAAACACGGAGCCTAACGTTAGCTAGCTGCTGGGACGATGTCATGTCATTGGAAGAGTGTTGAGTGACCGATTTTTTCCCCCTCATAGTTTTTCGGTGGCTACAGCTAGAGATGCAGGTGTCATTTGGTTAGCTAGTAAGAAATGTGAATCGCTTTGCTAGCTAATTATCAATCAAATGTATTTGGCATCGATCAAATTGGCGGGCAGGCAGGCAGGCAAGTTCCTATTCAGTTGTCGAAATGTGGGTTGGGACAGGCATGCATTGGAAGGCAAGCTGCAGAAGGACGAGCAGGCTAATATTATCCATAGTTTATCAGTGCAATTTTAATGCCCAACTAGCTGAAAAAGTTTTAGAGGGTTTATCTAATGTTCCCTTGTTAGATTTGAACTCATCTCGCTCTGGCTAGCATTAGTTGTTGATCTTGTTGTTGTTGATGTGCATAGCCAACTGAGGGAGCGAACCTACCTTTTCATGGTTGTTTGATCAATAGGACTGTGAAGTTCCCAAATGTAAGTGGACTCCCGTGGAATTTACATATTTGCAGAAATCCATTCAGGTGTATTTTGTGGCTTTTGGCGAGTGTATTCTTTATGGCATTTCCATTAGGACTACAATGTGCGTACAGTGAAAATGATAGTCGGTACTGTAAGTACCTCCTGAGTGGCGCAGTCGTCTAAGGCACTGCTTTGCAGTGCTAACTGTGCCACTAGAGATCCTGGTTCGAATCCAGGCTCTGTCGCAGCCGGCCGCGACCGGGAGACTCATGGACGGCGCACAATTGGCCCAGCGTCGTCCAGGGTAGGGGAGGGAATGGCCGGCAGGGATGTAGCTCAGTTGATAGAGCATGGCGTTTGCAACGCCAGGGTTGTGGGTTCGATTCCCACGGGGGGCCAGTATAAAAAAAAAAAAATGTATTCACTAACTGTAAGTCCCTCTGGATAAGAGCGTCTGCTAAATGACTAAAATGTTAAATGTAATGTACTAGGGCCGGGACGATACCAGTATTGCAATACTCATTAGTATCGTGGGCAAGAAAAAACAAAAAAACTAAGTGGATTCAACTTATTTAGGAACACCGCCCTAATGTTGGAAACAAACAAATCATTATGTTGACATCCAGAGTCACATTCATTTATTTTCCAAGCTATAGCACACAATATTTTACATACAGCTGGTTTTTAAAAGGACCAAAGAGTTAGATCTGCTTCGTGTTTTCATTTTTGCCATGGAAAAAAATATTGTGATGCTGGTATCGTCCCAGCCCTAGTAAGTACAGCTACACCAGTGCTTTGATGTGTAATTTCTCCTAGTGTACATTATGTTGGGTGACTTTAACTCAATGAATCTATCCTTACATTATGTTATCCTTAGTCATTATACAGTAATGTCATTATCAGTAATGTAATCAGTAACGATTATCAGTAATGTCATTACCAGATTAAATATGAATCGACCAAACATTGTACTGTATTACAGCACATATATGAATAGCTTTGAATTTCTTATATTTCTATATCATTAACATATTTCAATGTAATTCTTACCCTTGCAATTCAATCCATTGAAACTCAACATTGCAAAATAAAATATATAAACCGTAGTCTTTATAACAACAAAAAACATCCCAAGAAATTGCTTACCTAAAAATAGCAAACATGAAAAACCAAATAGCACTAAAATCTTTTTCATTTCATATTAATCTCCTTTCACAAATGGTTTGTGTTAATAGTCTTAAAACTAAGCGAATCTTACCCAAGCATGTGAAACCCTGTTACCCCTTCACGCAGAGCCGATTATTCCCCCAGATTATTGTTTTACCTTGTAATCAGGCTTTATGTTGGCAAAGTAAATGTAGGAGTCCCCAGCCAGTCCGATCCTCAGTCCTCCCCCTTGCCAAGCTACTGCTGTCATCTGCTTGCCAGGCACCTTCAGAGATGCTATGCAAAAAAAATTGTTTTGGTCAAATGCCATGTAGCCTATTTATAATATTGTGTACTTTGTAGGGGCTGAATCCTAATTGGATATCTACACTCAGTGGCCAGTTTATTAGGTACACCCCCTTTGCCTCCAGAACAGCTTGAATTCTCCGGGGCATGGAAACATTGCTCAATTGGGACCAAGGGACCTATCGTGTGCCAGGAAAACACCATTACACCACCGCCACCAGCCTGTACCGTTAACACCAGGCAGGATGGGGCCCTGGACTCATGCTGCTTACGCCAAATCCTGACTCTGCCATCAGCATGATGCAACAGGAACCGGGATTCATCAGACCAGGCAATGTTTTTCCACTCCACAATTGTCCAGTGTTGGTGATCGCGTGCCCACTGGAGCCGCTTCTTCTTGTTTTTAGCTGATAGGAGTAGAACCCTGTGTGGTCGTCTACTGCAATAGCCCATCCGTGACAAGGACGGACGAGTTGCGCGTTCCGAGATGCTGTTCTGCACACCACTGTTGTACTGCGCTGTTATTTGCCTGTTTGTGGCCCGCCTGTTAGCTTGCACGATTCTTGCAATTTTCCTTCAACCTCTCGTCAACGAGCTGTTTTCGCCCACAGGACTGCTGCTGACTGGATGTTTTTTGTTTGTCGCACCATTCTCGGTAAACCCTAGACACTGTCGTGCGTGAAAAGCCCAGGAGGCCGGTCGTTTCTGAGATACTGGAACTGGCACGCCTGGCACCAATGATCATACCTCGCTCAAAGTCGCTTAGGTCACTCATTTTCAGTAACGGAATGGCTCAATGCCTGTCTGCCTGCTTTATATCGCAAGCCATGTTCACGTGGTGGTGGTGTACCTAATAAAAATCATTTTGACATCAATGGCAAATCTGCCACTCCTTTTAATTAATACAATTTATTATACAACTTTTTATTTATACTTCCTTCATTTATCCAGGTTAGTCTCATTCAGTACAACTCAGAAACCTGGTTGCGTAATGAAAAGGTGTAGATTCAGGCGCACACCGCGGCAGGTTTTATTTCGCCTTCGCAGAAGGCAGGAATCGTGGTCACAGGCGGGCAATGGTCATACATAAGTAGGCAAACAGGCAGGTGAATCAAAACTAGGACTGAAGGCTATAACTGGTTCTCATAAACGAGCTAGGAAAAGGCTTAGTAGAGTCAAAACGAACAATACCTCACAAGGCACAAACAGAAAGAACTGAACTAAATAAGGAGCTGATGAGACCAGGTGAGTAACTAACACAGGTGAAATCAATGAACAAAAATGAAAGACAGGGCTATGTTCACGAACACAAAGAAACAGGGCTATGTTCAAGACCACAAGGTGAACTAAGAAAATATATACAGAACCTTACAGGTTGACTGAAACTAAAAACAAGTCATGTTTTGCCTGCAACCTTCCACATCGACAGGGAACATCTGAAAGCTATGCTATGAGAGGCTTGAGTCTGGGCCTTAGAATGGCCGGGCTCTCTCACCTCTCCGAATGGGGTGTAGAACTGCATCTCCATGGCCCTCGGGTAGCCTGCCACTACCAGCACGCTGCCACACTGGTCCCACTGCACACTGGCCATGTTCATAAGCATGTCTATGAACACTGGGACTGGAGAGGGACAGGAGAAAGGGTTGCCGTGGAGCAAGGACCTTCATAAAAATGATAGTCATCATTGTCATTATCGCTATATTACTCCAAACGTGAAAACATGATATCACTTATACAGTTTAGACCTTTGGATTCTGGCATAATTTGGCAATAAGTGATTACAGCAGACATTTGAAAGTCAAGGATTGCGCCATATCAACGAACCTCCCCTTTCTCCCACCCCATTCCACTCCTTGGCCCATTCACTCACTTTCATCATTCTCGTAGCGCATGACCTAACACTGTCCGTTATCGAAGCAGATGGCCAAGCAAGGGCTCCACGTAGCCCTCTGAACCTGCGTACCAGTGGATCCCTGTGATAATGATGTCTCCAGTCACGTTATACAGACAGCTGACTGTCATCTTTATCTGTAACATAACTGACCTTCTCTAAGTCTCCTATAACTAAGAGGTATCCACTCTTCAGAAGTGGGAAGGTGTTTTTCTAGTTACCAGTATACTATATAGTGGGTGTGAGAAATCAATAGCGATACAATGACAACTATTTCTGACTTTTTTTAAACTGAAATAACCCGACGGAACCAATGCATGAATTAGAAAAACAATGCTAAGGTCATGCTCCATTAAAAGTGCTTATTAGCCCAAGACTAGGCTTAATATCTGTTTGGGAAACCGGCCCATACTGTCCAGACAAATATGTTAAAGGAAGGAGCATAGCAGAATGCATGAAGGGACACTTACCATCTACAGATCCAACAATGACTGCCCCGACCTCGAACAATACAAATCTTCTGGCCGTCTGCATTCCAATTCAAGCTCCTCACCACTTACTTGTTCCTGTTGTTGATCATCTCTTTGTACCATGAGCCTATTCAGACACCGTGTTATTATGCCATACATCAAATAGTCAAGATAAATTGACAGCACTGAGGTAGCAAGAAAGCTCAATTGACTCTCTGACTTCAAATATACTTCAGTGTAATAGAACTGCAGTCTTTCTGTGTTTGTGCGATTAGAAGTGGAAAATGTCAAAATCTAAGATTCATTTCTGGGCCATAATAATCAGTGAGACTTCACAATAATCTTGAAACTGAAAAAAAGCTCTAAAACAAAATTATATACACTGAACAAAAATATAATGTAAAGTGTTGGTCCCATGTTTCATAAGCTGAAATAAAAGATCCCAGAAATTTTCCATTGGCACAAAAAGCGTATTTCTCTCAAATTTTGTGCACAAATTTGTTTACATCCCTGTTAGTGAGCATTTCTCTTTTGCCAAGATAATCCATCCACCTGACAGTTGTGGCATATAAAGAAGATGATTAAACAGCATGATCATTACATAGGTGCACCTTGCACTGGGGACAATAAAAGGTACCTCTAAAATTTGCAGTTTTGTCACAACACAATGCCACAAATGTCTCAAGTTTTGAGGGAGTGTGCAATTGGCATGCTGACTGCAGGAATGTCCACCAGAGCTGTTGCCAGATAATTTATGTTAATTTCTCTACCATAAGCCGCCTCCAACGTCAGTTTAGAGAATTTGTCAGTACGTCCAACGAGCCTCACAACCGCAGACCACATGTATGTCGTCGTGTGGGCGAGCGGTTTGCTGATGTCAATGTTGTGAACAGAGTGCCCCATGGTGCCGGTGGGGTTATGGTATTGGCAGGTATAAGCTACGGATAACGAACTCAATTGCATTTTATGATAGCAATTTGAATGCACAGAGATACCGTGACAAGATCCTGAGGCCCATTGTCGTGCCGTTAATCCGCCACCATCACCTCATGTTTCAGCATGATAATGCACAGACCCATGTCGCAAGGATCTGTACACAATTCCTGGAAGCTGAAAATGTCCCAGTTCTTCCATGGCCTGCATACTCACCAGACATGTCACCCATTGACCATGTTTGCGATGCTCTGGATCAACGTGTACGACAGCGTGTTCCAGTTCCCGCCAATATCCAGCAACTTCGCCGCACAACCATTGAAGAGGAGTGGGACAACATTCCACAGGCCACAATCAACAGCCTGATCAACTCTATGCCAAAGAGATGTGTCGCGCTGCATGAGGGAAATGGTGGTCATACCAGATACTGACCGTTTTTTTAAGGTATCTGTGACCAACAGATGATTATCTGTATTCCCAGTCATGTGAAATCCATAGAATAGGGCCTAATGAATTTATTTCAGTTGACAGATTTCCTTGTATGAACTGTAACTTAGTAAAATCTTTGCAATTGTTGCATGTTGCGTTTATATTTTTGTTCAGTATAGAATTGCATCTTGCGTTTTACCAACCCCCCATACATTATTCTCAGTCCACGAGACTATCCAGTATGTAGACTACCTTTGTAGAGCATCCACATAATAATGAGGTCATTCTGGTCACTGGTGGTGAGCTTCTGGTACTGCTCGTTCCACGTCACCAACTGTACTGCTCCTGTGTCCTACCAAGCAACAAACATCGGAGGTCAGAGCTCCCCACTGGCTCCCAAAAACAGTTTCCCCATCAGGTTGTACCTTACTTACCACTGTGGCCTTCAATTGTCTTGTTCATTGACAAATTGCTTGGTACTGCAAGTCCTTTGAGTTTGGCATCGTCTGTTGAAAGTTCACAGCCAAAAAGAGAACAAGAGGTCAAGTTTTTTATGTGTGTGTGTTTTTATTATATTTTGACAACAGTCAAAAGATTGTACACACATATTCATTTCAGGGATTTTCTTTATTTTTACTATTTTCCACATTGTAGAATAATAGTAAAGACATAATACTTTTGAAATAACACATATGGAATCATGTAGTAACCAAAAAAGTGTTAAACAAATCAAAATATGTTTTATATTTGAGATTCTTCAAATAGCCACCCTTTGCCTTGATGACAGCTTTGCACACTCGTGGCAATCTCTCAACCAGCTTCATAAGGTATTCACCTGGAATGCATTTCAATTAACAGGTGTACCTTCTTAAAAGTGAATTTGCGTTTGAGACAATCAGTTGTGTTGTGACAAGGTAGGGGGGGTATACAGAAAATAGCCCTATTTGGTAAAAGACCAAGTCCATATTATGGCAAGAACAGCTCAAATAAGCAAAGAGAAACAACAGTCCATCATTACTTTAAGACATGAAGGTCAGTCAATACGGAAAATCTAAAGAACTTTGAATGTTTCTTCAAGTGCAGTCGCAACAACCATCAAGCGCTATGATGAAACAGGCTCTCATAAGGACCGCCACAGGAATGGCAGACACAGATTTACCTCTGTTGCAGAGGATAAGTTCATTAGAGTTACCAGCCTCAGAAATTGCAGTCCATATAAATGCTTCACAGACACATCTCAACATCAACTGTTCAGAGGGGACTGTGTGAATCAGGCCTTCATGGTCGAATTGCTGCAAAGAAACCACTACTAAAGCACACCAATAAGAAGAAGAGACCTGCTTGGGCCAAGAAACACAAGCAATGGACATTAGACCGGTGGAAATTTGTCCTTTGGTCTGGAGTCCAAATTTGAGATTTTTGGTTCCAACCGCAGTGTCTTTGTGAGACGCGGTGTGGGTGAACGGATGATCTCTGCATGCGTGGTTCCAACCATAAAGGATGGAGGAGGAGGTGTTAAGGTGTGGGGGTGCTTTGCTGGTGACACTGTCTGTGATTTATTTAGAATTCAAGCCACACTTAACCAGCATGGCTACCACAGCATTCTGCAGTGATATGCCATCCCATCTGGTTTGGGCTTAGTGGGACTATCATTTGTTTTTTAACAGGACAATGACCCAACAAACCTCCAGGCAGTGTAAGGGCTATTTTACCAAGAAGGAGAGTGATGGAGTGCTGCATCAGATGACCTGGCCTCCACAATCCCCCGACCTCAACCCAATTGAGATGGTTTGGGATGAGTCGGACGGCAGAGTGAAGGAAAAGCAGCCAGCAAGTGCTCAGCATATGTTGGAAAAGCATTCCAGGTGAAGCTGGTTGAGAGAATGCCAAGAGTGTGCAAAGCTGTCATCAAGGCAAAGGGTGGCTATTTGAAGAATCTCAAATACAAAATATATTTTGATTTGTTTAACACAATTTTTGGTTACTGCATGATTCCATATGTGTTATTTCATAGTTTTGATGTCTTTACTATTATTCTACAATGTAGAAAATAGTAAAAATAAAGAAAAACCCTTGAATGAGTAGGTGTTCTAAAACCTTTGACCGGTAGTGTATATATACTTTTTTTTATTTTACCTTTATTATTTATTAGTCAGTTAAGAACAAATTCTTATTTAAAATGATGGCCTGCCAATAGGCAAAAGGCCTCCTGCTAGGAAGGGGGCTGAAAAAAAGAAAAAACGACGAGACACCACGACACTATATAAATAAAGACCTAAGACAACAACACATCATGGCAGCAACACATGACAACACAGCATAGTAGCAACACAACATGACAACAACACGGTAGCGACACAACATGGCAGAAGCACAACATGGTAGCAGCACAAACATGGTACAAACATTGTTGGGCACAGACAACAGCACAAAGGGAAAAAAAGTAGAGACAACAATGAATCACGCGTAGCAGCCACACGTGTCAGTTAGAGTGTCCATGATTGAGTCTTTGAATATAGAGAAGGAGATAAAACTGTCCAGTTTGAGTGTTTTTTGCAGCTCGTTCCAGTCGCTAGTTGCAGCGAACTGAAAAGAGGAGCAACGCAGGGATGTGTGTGCTTTGGGGACCCTTAACTGTGATGAGGTGATGTCGAAGGAGTCAGGCGCAGGAGGGTAAACCACAAAATAACAGGCTTTATTCCGCAATTACAGGGTTACGCAGAAATGCATCAAAATACTCTAGTGCGCAAAACAGGTGCACTGGAAAATACACGGCACACTGGGAAATATCCCGGCGATACAAAATACACGGAGCTCCACCGAGCTTCACTATCCACCAAAATAAACAATCACACACAAAGACAAGGGGGCAGAGGGAACACTTATACAGGTACTGATGAGGGGATATGAACCAGGTGTGTGTAATAAACAAGACAAAACAAATGGAATGATGAGATGTGGAGCGGCAGTGGCTAGAAGGCCGGTGACGACGAACGCTGAAGCCTGACCGAACAAGGAGAGGAGGCAGCTTCGGAGGAAGTTGTGACAGTACCCCCCGTTAACGTGCAGCTCCAGCAGCGCGCCAACCCCAGCCTCGGAGTACGCGGAGCAGGGCAAGCCGGATGGCGACGGTGGAAATCCCGCAACAGGGAGGGATCGAGGATATCCCTCACCGGGACCCAGCACCGCTCCTCCGGACCGTACCCCTCCCACTCCACGAGGTACTGAAGGCCCCCCCACCCGACGGAGGGACTTCCCGCACCTCAGACTCCTGGAGCGGACCAGCCACCACCGGCCTGACGAGAGACACATGGTTAATGCGGTAATCTGTAAGTAGTAACCTGTAAGTAACCTCGTTTATTCTCCTCAGGAGTTTGAACGGCCCCACAAACCGTGGGCACAGCTTCCGGCAGGGCAGGCGGCGGGACAGATTCCGGATACAAAGACCGGGCCCTCACTGCCGTGGCGGTCAGCGTTGGCCTTCTGACAACGCACAGAGCACTGGAGGTGGACGTGAGCAGCGTTCCACGTCTCCTCCGCACGCCGAAACCAGTCATCCACTGCAGGAGCCTTGGTCTGGCTGTGATGCCATGGTGCAAGAACCGGCTGATAACCTAAACAAATTTAAATGGCGTTAGGTTAGTGGAGGAGTGGCGGAGAGAGTTCTGGGCATATTCGGCCCATGGCAAGAACAGCGACCACTCCCCCAGCCGGTCCTGGCAGTAGGACCTACCCACATCCTGATTCACCCCTTCCACCTGCCCATTAGACTCGGGGTGAAAACCAGAGGTCAGGCTGACCGAGACACCCAGACTGTCCATGAACGCCTTCCAGACCCGGGATGTGAACTGGGGACCCCGGACAGACAATATGTCCTCTGGCACCCCGTGGTGCCGGAAGACTTGTGTAAACAGGGCCTCCGCAGTCTGCAGGGCCGTGGGGACACCGGGCAGAGGAAGGAGACGGCAGGCTTTGGAAAAGCGGTCCACAACGACCAGGATGGTGGTGTTACCTTGACAGAGGGGAAGATCAGTAAGGAAGTCAATAAACAAGTGGGACCATGGCCATTGTGGAACTGGTAAGGGCTGTAACTTACCCGCTGGGAGGTGCCTAGGTGCCTTACACTGGGCGCACACCGAGCAAGGTAGGCCACAGGTACTTTCCGGTCAGGCAGAGCACTGTACGACCGATACCTGGGTGACCAGAGGAGGAGGACGTGTGTACCCTATAGATCAGACAGTCACCGACAAGAGACGGCACCTACTGCAGCCCAGCTGGACACTGAGGTGGAGATGGCTCTGTGCGTAACGCCCGCTCTATGTCCGCGTCCATCGCCCACACTACCGGCGCCATAATGCAGGAGGCCGGGAGTATGGGATGTTGTCTATGGGCCTCTCCTCTGTGTCGTACAGCCGTGACAGTGCGCCTGCATTCATGTTCTTCGTACCCGGGATGTAAGACAGAGTAAAATCAAACCGGGTGAAGAATAGGGCCCACCTGGCCTGGCGAGGGTTCAGCCTCCTCGCTGCCCGGATGTATTCCAGGTTACGGTGGGTCCGTCCAAACGAGGAAAGGGTGTTTCGCCCCCTCGAGCCAGTGCCTCCACACGGTCAGGGCTTGGACAACTGCCAACAGCTCCCGATCACCAACGTCTTAGTTTTGCTCCTTGAGGAAGAAGGCACAGGGGCGGAGCTTGGGTGGCGTACCCGAGCGTTGAGATAGGACAGCGCCTATCCCTACCTCAGACACATCCACCTCCACTACGAACGGTAGTGATGGATCGGGATGGGCCAGTACCGGGGCTGAGTTAAACAGAACCCTCAGGTTACTGAAGGCCCTGTCAGACTCAGCAGACCAGCGGAGTCGGGACGGCCCACCCTTCAACAGAGATGTGATGGGAGCTGCGACCTTGCCAAAGCCCCGGATAAACCTCCGATAGTAGTTGGCAAAGCCAATAAAGCGCTGCACCTCCTTGACCGTGGTTGGAGTCGGCCAATTACGCACGGCTGAAATGCGATCTCCATCCATCTCCTCCCCCTCTCGGACACGCACCACATTGTATGCACTCCGGAGATCAACTTTTGTGGGGTAGAGGATAACTATAACATATTGTCCCCTTGTTCAGTGCTCGGTAATCAATGCAAGGGCGCAGACCTCCGTCTTTCTTCTTCACAAAAAATAAACTTGAGGAGGCGGGCGAAGTGGATGGACGTATGAACCCCTGGCGCAGGGACTCGGAGACGTATGTCTCCAACGCCTCCATTTCAGCCTGCGACATGAGTCCTGGGAGGCACAGCGTCTACCCGGAGGTTTATCGTGCAATCCCCCGCCCGATGAGGTGCTAATTAGGTCGCCTGCGTTTTGGAAAATGCGTGCTCCAAATCGAGGTAGTCGGGGGGAATGCGCACAGTGTCTGGACTTTCCACCGTGGTTGCACCAACAGAAACCCCTAGACCCGTACCCTGAAACTCTCGCGACCACCCTGTGAGAACCCTCTGTGGCCATG